AACTGCGATAAGTTAGCTTCTGAGTAGGATTTTAATTTGATCTTTGTGTATGATTTTTTTGTTAATGTTGAAAATTTTGTTGGGTAGAATGATAAAGATGTTGTTGTTGTTGTTGTGGTTGTTACAAATGTTGCTGAATATGTTGTTGATGTTGTTGTAGATGTTGTTAACGTTGTTGCAGATGTTGTTGATGTTGTCGCAAGACTTAAATAAGCCGGATTCAGTTCTTTTGAAAGTTTCGTTTGTGTTTTTGAAGAGTTAAAACTTTTGTTGTGAAGTTTTGTTGGCGTTGTTGTTTGTTGAATTTTTTTATGTTGTTTTAGTTGTTGTTGTAGGTATTGTTGAGATTTTATACTCAAATACTCAATGAATGAATCTAGATCATCGTTAAATGATTTTAAATCAATTTGTTGATGTTGTTGATGTTGCTGATGTTGTTGATAATGTTGTTGTTGTTGCAAAATTTCTTGCGCAGTTGGAAACGAATCAGTTGTTCTTCTTCTCGGCTTGGAATTTTTGTTGTTGGTTGAGAGCAAAATGTTTGTTGAAACAACTTTTGTTGATGTATTTGTTGACGGGATTGGCGATAGTGATGATGAAAATGTTGTTGATGTTGTTGTTGATGGTGTTACTGTTGTAGGCGTCCAAATTGGTGTTAAATTCATGAAGAGGTGTGTAGAATTTCTCCGATGTCTGTAAGGTTTTGTCTTTGTCGGTGACGTTATTTTTGTTGTTGGTGGTATTGTTGCCGCTGCCGTAAATGTTGCCAGAAGTGCTGATGATGATCTTGTTGTTGTTGGTTTTGTCGTTGTTGATGTTATGGTGAATGAAACGTTGAATGTAGGATCAAAATTTGTGGTTCTAAATTTTGTGTTTTTTATGTGCGTGCTGCTTGTTGTTGTTGTTGTTGTGATTGTTGAAATGTAGTTTGGTATTGACTCTGTTGTTGTTTTGTTGTTGCTGTTGTTGTAGTCGGAATAAGATAACAGCTGTTGCAAAACNT